GTAGAAACTATTATACGAGTGTAAGAGCTAAAATACACTTTGAATGAGATATTTGTATAGGCATGGAGTTAATAGGCTAGAGATAAATATATAAAGAATTAAAGACTTGCGGAATGTTAGTCGACCCGCTCATGAATAAATCAAATTCTAGTCTTAACCTAAATGCCGGTTAAGGGTTATGATTAGGGTTGATAAATGCGATTCGATTATCGATGAAGAATTACTTTTAAAATATGAATTAAATATCCTATATATCCATGTATCAAATATGAATGTATATTAATATTATAGTCACACTATAGTGGACTAATTCATAGTATAAGTTATTTAGTCTAACACGAAGGTTTAAAACTTAATTAATAGTTCGAAGGCCGGCATATTTAATTAAAAATTTATTCAAGTGCGGTATTGTTACATTAAGTTTAAAAATAATAATTAGTTAGATCTAATTTACCAGCTACTTATAAAAAAACATAGATTTAATTAACGCGACGTTTTTTTAAAAAAAGTTATTTAATAAAATTAAACTGATAAAATAAAATTCGATAACTTGCCTTTCAGTGATAACCATCGAATAGAAATGTCCCAGTCTAATTTAGTTCACCAACCGTTAGAGGTTGACGGCATGAATGAGCCGTCGACTCGCGGGTCACACGTTAAAAACATAACGAATGTATGTATGGAGAGAAGAAGAGAAAAAAACTCCTTTCCGTTCGACCTACGCCAGCACAAGTGAACCCAACCAAGCGGCGCAACTCGTTCTGTTAGTAAATTACTTACCGCCCGCCCACATCACCCGCTACCACTTGCGTTTTGCAATCACCAAGGGCCATAACCGAGGAAGGCCCATAACTCGGTTCGCTAGCGAGTGTGGCGGGTCGCCTACCGTCAAGTTTGGTTTATCAGCAGTGGTAAAAAAGGGGAAAAAAAAACAAGGAAAAGAAATTTGGGGAAAACCTTTCGTTAATCATCAGAAATTTAGAAGAAAAAAGTACAGAACACCGTGTCCTAACGTGGTTTAATTTGTGGGTGGGTGGGTGGGACTACGCAACACGTGTCAGTTATTTCGTCATAACGGCGTGCAGGTCATGACGGCCGATTCACGGCATTACGAAGTGTTTATGGAATGGGTGGATTTCTGAATGAAAAATGAGCCGTTCGCATACGGGCCAGAAACTGGCTAAAATCAATCTTTCATTCACAAAGTTTGTACACCACAAGCACGCATATATATATATATATATATATATATATATATATATATATATATATATATATATATATATATATATATATATATATATATATATATATATATATATATATATGATATATATATGTATATATATATATATATATATATATATGTATATATATATATGTATATATATATATATATATATGTATATATATATATATATATATATATATATGTATATATATATATATATATATATATATATATATATATATATGGGTCTATATATATACACACGTATGTATATATACATAAAGGCCCATGTATACATACTCATATATATAGGCCTATATTTACATACATACACACATATATATATATATATATATATATATATATATATATATATACATACATATATATATATATATATATATATATATATATATATATATATATATATATATATATATATATATATATATATATATATATATATATATATATATATAGGCCTATATTTACATTCATATATATATACATAAATATATATATGCGTGTATGTATACATATAGGCCCTATATATCGGTATATCTGTACATAACGGCGTCTGGCAGACAGATTATAGAGCCCAACAAACAGGAAAGGAAAGTCCTCGACCCTTGAAGGTCACTGGTGTATCAATGAAAAGTATTGGTGATATGCGACACGGCGTCGCCTCGTTTTTTGATCCGTGCCTTTCCGTGCTATACTTTTTAACTTTTTACGTGCGATTATTTTTAAATCTGACCTATCCTTTATTTTATCTGCCGGCTGGCGTGTTGTTAAAACACTTTTTTTTTTTAAAACCACTCTGACAACGGCCTTTATAAAAGGTGGGATTGTCGATTATCAGATAATACAATACTTAAGTTAATCAATTACAGTACTAAAGTAGTTCCGATCGTTTAAGTTACGCAGTGGTGGCATATTATTCATGTTGCAGCGAAGCAGATGTAATTGATATGGTCTATTTTTAGAAGACACGCGGTATTCTGGCCAACACTTTTGCCGAGTCATTTAAACCAAGAGAAAATATGTACTTTCTTATTAAGTGCTGATTAAGGAAATGATACTTAGGAATATGATTTTTGTGTGTTGTTTACTTTAGATTTCAAAGCTGAAATCACGGTTCGATTTGAGCATTTTTATAATTATATTTTTTTAAAGCAAAAATTATTTTTTCTCTCCCTTGAATGTAAATAGTTATAGCCCTTTATTATAAAAATCAAAGGTGAATTGCGTCACAGGGCTTGCGAAAGCTCCCTGCCTTAAAAGGCTTTGAAAAATAAACGCCAAACAGGCAACTAGAATTTCTAGATTAATTATCAGCTTGTTGACACTTGTTGCTCGGGACCTGGTAGTGGTCACTTCAGCTCGTGAGCCCAAGTTGTAAAATTAGTCAATTACATTCTCGCTAATTAACCAGCAATTATGAGGTTATTGAGCAGAGGATGAAGTAGTATCGTAGTAGTGAGTTGGGGGCGGGGAGGGAAAAGTGTGGGGGGGGGGGGGGGGGCGCAACAACGACGTTCGGACGCGGTAGGGGGGGGGGGGGGGCAAAGTGAGAAAAGGGGGACAAGTATAGCCCCCGCCGTGTGTGAATGTGACGACATCGATACCCGCCGCTCCCCACCCGCTTGTCTAGACGGTGTGTTGTTTGCCCACCGAGGGCGTGGCGAGGTCTGGGTACTGAGGGCGCGAATAGTCCAAAAAAAAAAGTCATGAGATTCGATGACTTTAACTAAACGTCACACAGCTCAAATAACGCGATATTTGACATGACTAAAAGCAATACGAAACTAGCCTTATACTTGGTCTATATTGAAAATAGCCCAACATTGCCAAGATTTCCTTTTTATTGAATCCTTTAAACTGCTTTATCGGGCGACCCCCTAATAAAATTTTATTCGTTTTTAAGGGCACTTTCCTTCCTCTAAGTCCTAAGCATAAAAAAAGCTACTTTTCTCTCTTTTTTTTTTATGAGTAGTGTAAAACGTTACGATTTGTTAAAGGAAGCTTTGATTTAGGTTATACATGGTTAATAACGTTGCTATTATCGAAATGGGGTCTGTTATTTTAGGTACCTAACAGGGCAGTACTCATTTCCGTTAGGCGGTACCAGAATCATATACAAGGTGTAGGATAAATTACATGAATATATACATGCATTATATGTTAGCATAAAAACGTAAATCTTTTCTAAAATGGCACCTTAATTAACCGTGACATAGTTTAACTCTAACCATAATCGTCCAAAGTTTGAGCTAGATACCTAACAATCTCTTAAAACCGATTAAAGGAAACTTACCTTACAATACGACCCACCACCAACTTTTAATACTTTTTGGAAAGGCAATAAATGAAAGAGACGTCTATAAAGTTTACAGGGACATTATCTCCACGGGAACACGAGCCTTTGTCCACTTTATGTGTTAATCCCACACAGACTTAACACATAAAAAAAACCCACCCGCTCCGTACCCCCACACAAACCACCATTTATCTTGATTATTTGTTTCCCTTATGACTTTATAATGGCCGCCGAATCTAGAGAAGGGGGAACAATTACAGAAAAAAGGGGGGACAATTAGAGAGAAACACATGTAGAGGGAGATAATAAAATAAGGACTTGCAAACATAACCTCTTTACACGGTGACGTCTGGGTTTTTCCAGGGCAGTGTAGGAGAAATTTATAGAGCGTTCGATTTAACAATGGGTGTATTGATAGCATTACATTCTGGTAGGGCGTACAGGAACTAGGTTAAAATTCCGTGTACGCAAGGGCGCGTTCAAGTTACTGCAACGTTTCTAGTGGTTTTATTTTGTATAGATCTATGTTCAATTCAAATAGTTGTGAATCGCGATATAGTGAATGGAAATTTTTTTTTAATTAAATAGGCAAATGTTAACGTTATTTTAATGTTATATATTCTCTACAAGGTAGACGATTCACGCATTTCGTATATCGTTCAAATGAGTCTGACCCTCACGCGAATTTAACACTACCACGCGTCTGTCACAATAACAGAAAAGTACCCATATTCTTTTACCGTAATTTTACAATTTAAAACACAAATGGGGCGTGGGCGACGATAAATATTTACAGTGCGAATTTTTCGTCACGACATTCATACATTTTATCGGAACCGGCGATATTTTTACTACATTTTTATGTTCAAATAAAACGCAGAGAACAGTGAACGGTTTTTTTTTTAGCTGGGAGAATTGTAAGGGAAATAATCCCGTCTCTACAGAGTTATTGATTTGTTTTTAATAACAAACTCGATGAGAGTACCGTCCCCTTTGGTGTTATCACTACAGTAGTTAAAATATAAACGGAGTTGTGGTTAAATTCAACAAATTGTTTTAACGAGCCGGCCCGCGGCATAACATACGCCGCTATTTAGTTGTTTCTAATTTTCAATAATTCATAATTTGTGAATTCGACAGTACCAACGCTGACACTGAAAATATTTCTTTAAAACACTATAAGTAGCTCGTTAAGGACCATAAACCCCCCCCCCCCCCCCTTCCTTCCCTCCCCCCCCCTCCTCCCCCCCCCCCCTCGTTTAAAATCGTTGGCTCTGCTTGTAAACATTTAGAGTGAACACAGCTCACTAAAACCATGTAGGGGTGGGGAGGTAGGGAGAGCGTTTGCAGCTTGTTTTCTAACGGCTCGAAGAAGAGAATTATATATATAGATAATTAGTTTAAGAATATCACACATGAGAATAGTCTAAAAGGTAAATTACAATATACCTGTGGCCATTATTCCAGTAAGGTGCTAAAGTTGAATCGTCGGCTCCGTTCGGCATTAAAGGTAAATAACTATTCATTGGCGCTATGGCAGAAGTCATGAGAAAGCTAGCTTCGCTTGATACAAGCGTTAGCTAAACTTTTTAACACACTCGCTAAATTTCTTGTCGAAACTTTAAAGTGTAACTGGGCTAATGCAAAAATAAAACACCTTTTTGTACATTGAATCTGATAAATTTCTCTTGAAATTTTTTTTTCCAACACAATTTTTTTTTCCCTTAGGAACAGAATTCTTAATAAACCGTAGACACACTTGAATAAACTAGATGGTTGAACACAGCCCGAGTCAATGGATATCGAGAAGTTGAACGTGAAAGATGCTTGAACGCACCTCTCTGGCTAAATCCACGAGAAATTTAGTGTCCTTTAGTGAAAAACTATACGGAACAAAAACAACAGCTTTTTCCTGGCGATTTTAGCCCAGACCACGGGTCAAATGTTCAGAACTAGCCGTCACGTTTTTGATAAGCGGAGCTTGCGATTTCCATTGAGTCTAGTCTAGCACTGGCCACGCAGACCTGAAAACTATCGTCAGGTAAACAAGCGAGCTCAGGTAAATTCAACGGAAAATTTGCATCTTGGTGAAAACTGACCGACTTTTCAGACAAAAATTGTGTTAAGATAAAAGTGAAATAATTTCTAATAAATATAAATCCGTCAAAAATTAAGAAAACGAGAAAGAAAAACTTTAAATGCTTTGATGTATAATCCTTGTATCTCCTAGTCTTTGTAACGATTTGTTTATTCTGTAAGTCAGTTCTTCCGAGTATATTCCAAAGTGAAGTTTTCACTTTTCGGTATATTAAATAAAATTCAAAGTCTAATTTCTAAAAGTAAAAAGGGGCAAAATTTAAAACCGCTAAAAATGCATGAAAAATAACATCACAAATTCAAAGTAAAATAAGTTTGAAAAAACTATTTACTGGTGAATGAACTCTATTGTAAAACCACTGAGGTTTTGACTCAAAAAGATTTGAACTACAAGTAGTTACCTCGCTAGTGTGAGTGCGCTTATATCTCGTCCGGAATCAATCTTGGGAGGTTGTTTTTTTTTTTTAATCCACACACCGGCTCCCCTTCGACACGCACACAGACACCACCCACTCAATGAGTGGCATTACTGGCTTCAGATTCTTTTTCTCGCCATGTAAAAATCCCCTCGCTCGTTTCCTCGTTACCCTTCCACGCGAGACGTCCTACGTCACACACACACACTCCGCTGGTTCGTTGATCGGAACAGTACGACTTTTTTCTTCCCCTCTCTCTCTCTCGCTGCGCCCCCCCCCTCCCCCGCTCGGCTACGGGTGGCAAGCGGCCGGTAGATGGCGGGAGAATTATGGACGTTATGAATGGAGCGGGTCGGACACAGTAAACTTGCGACCAGACGGCTAATTTTTTTTTTAAAATTCAAAGACAAAATGCGATTTTATTTGACGGGTGCAGGAAGGCGTGGCGGGTGTGGGGTTGGGGGTGGGGTTCAGAAGAGGGGGTGGGGTTCAGAAGAAGGGGGTACTTTTAGTCTGACGAAAGGGGTGTGAGGTGTTTAAGCCAGTTTAAGGTACCGAAATGGTTTCTATGAATGAAAATTAATCTCAGCTGTAGAATCTAGATCCAGCATATCAGAGATTAACAGCTTAATCTCTCCACTACGGAGGATTTACAGGTGTCAGACACAACCTTAATGGATTATCTACAGGAGTTAGACACCCTTAACACTGAGACAGGGGTTATAAATAAATTGAATTTAGTTTTGAAACGCAGCAATTCAGCGATGTGAGTTGGACAAAAGTACAAATTATTTTGGCATATATTATGATATATGGACTAGATTCTACTTATTTGTATTGAAAACACCTAGACCGTAGTATGATGTAGATAATCGGAATGTTTATTAATATTATGTAACATCTAACACGTATCAAATATGAGCATGAGAATAATTTCACGGTTGTGTACCCTGCAGCTTGAGGGCTACTCGCGTTCGGTTGAGTTATCGCGCATGATTTAAACAAAATCTGGAGCGGAATTTCATCACGGCTATTTATAGACACCTCAGAAAGGTATTGCATATATTGGTTGTGAAGGGCCTAACAAAAATACACTAATCCAGTGTTGATAATTGAAAAGGTAAATACGATTTTATGATACTCAAGGACAAAACAGGTTTTATTTATAAAGAGGGCTTATTTATTAAAATATATAATTATTTTTTTAAAAATGTTCATTCATTTTTGTTTTTTTCGTTTCTTTATTATTCGTAGCACAAATTTAGATCTACGTATAGATTTATATACTCTACTGAAAAGATGTAGGGCTAGTACGTTTGTAATATCAAGTATAATGTTTGAGGGTTAAAACTAGGGTTACCAGATACCTTTTCCGAAAATACTGGACACCTTTCCATCCTTCCCTTCTCAGGTATGCCGCAAAGCAGAAGAAGGGGGGTAACAGTATTATTCATATACTTGTCCAGTATTTATATTTATTTTATCCTGGACAGTCTGCTCAAATACTGGACTGTCCAGTTCAAAACTGGACACCTGGCAACCCTAGTTAAAACATCACTGTCGACTGATGCTGTTTTAGAAGTAAGGCAAGAGAAACAAAAACTTTGAGCAGACGAGTATCGGGATAAAAGGCGGAAAATAAAATGAGAAAAATCAATCGTGGTTCTTCTACAACAATAAAGATTAAGGGATTATTGATTGATTGATATTATTGTGTATAATATTCATTTTTTAAAACTTTTATTATGTCGACGCATTTATAAAATATATTTATTGTACATGCTTAAGCAGGCCAAATCTCTCTCCCCCCCCCCCCCCCCCACCCCACAGGCCAATATCCTGGAGGTTGTAAAATATGTATTAGAAGAACCCCAGAAGAGACGTTGACGAGTTTATATCCCTGGGTAAGGTATGCTAGAAAGCTCGTGGGGGTCAAAGGTTAGGTTGTAGACCGGCCATAAGTGTAGTCGCGTTACCTGGAGGTTCCCTGCAGTTACCCCGGGGATTGGGGACTGGCGGGGGGGGGGGGGGGTAAGGTACAGCAGTCAATACATACGTACACCCGTCAGTAAAGCACAGGCAAGGGTTAGGGTAGTTTTGTCGACAGTTGTGAAAAATTATTACGAGAGTAGCTAGTCTATAGAATTTTGGTGCTATCATGAACTCTTCTGAAACTATTTGTGCAAGGTTGTTAATATGAAGCTATTGTTAGTTTTAGTTTTAGGGTAAGAAATTAGGTTAAAGGATATGCTAAGATTTGGATTACGGTTTGTGCTATGTTAGGATTGTTCTTGACAATAGCAAGTTATATTTGTAGCTAGATAAGTACAAGTAACCTTACACCCCTTTTTAAAGAAGATTCCATTATTGTGGCATTATCGAACACTGGAAAACAAACACACAGGAAGTTTTGGCTTCAGTTAGGTTTAAGTTAGTTAATGCAAGCAATATCACTGGGTAGTTAGGTTCAAGCAGGCAGTTCATCAATAGCTAATTTAATTATTTTAACATTTTATAAGTTGTCTACTTTTAGGGGAATTAACTCTACCGTTTGAACGTCATACATAACAGGGTTATCTAATTTTAATTTCGTTTCTGACATGTCGATTATGATTTAATTTTTCAAGACACTTTCACTTGATGCGAAGAAATAGACGGTTCATCTTTTAGGGTTAAGTTTTAGGTTATGTGTCGTTATTGAAAAAAGATAGCAATAACAATATATTTTCCAGTTTCCTGCTTATAAGATACGCAAAACATTCTACACATTCTACTAAGTACTTTGTAAATATGCAACAAGGTAACATAGAGCCTACTAGTCTTCACAAGTTATCCTTGCATGTTATTGTTTTGTTATTGCAAATGTATGCTATCATCACATACGTTTGTACAATAGCATCCAAGTACATACGGACACATAGATCTATATAAATCACACGTAAATTAACGAACGGTTACAAAAACAAAGCCGAATGATGAAAAAGTTGGATTGTACTTTACCGAAGAAACGACATCCCCTGGTTGTGTTATGGCAGACATATGTTACCTGTACAAGCGACTATTTACATCTGTCCACCGACCGACACACTAGGGGAAGTCACTCTTGATATCAATATGCCACCCCATACAAACTGGCCCGTCTACACTGATGACGGAGCAAGGACCGTAACTCTACCGGCTTAGGAAATAACAACCTATTCACGAAATGATTTGACCGGAGTTCAAAGCAAGGGGAAGTAATACGCATAAATTGGTTTCGTTTTAAAATGTTATAATAAAGCTTTGTAATGTTAAAACATTCAATGTAATTAAAATTCATTATAATTAGGCCTATCTAAATTTTTTTATAACAGAATTCTTTTTAACTTCGCTAGTTTAAAGAAAAAATAGTTAATTCACTAAGAGAAGGGAAGTAATACGGACGGAGAAAGTTATATTTTTAAACAATAAACATAATTCATTGTAAAAATTCAATTAAAAATCTCATAATAAAATAATGCTTATTTTCAATCGTACTATTCGATTACAAAAGTGTCAACGTGAAATAATTAACACAAAAAAAAAGTAATTGCATATAGATCTAAATCTAGAAAAAGAAAACATCGCTTAACTAAAAGAAACGAAAGAACACAGACCGATCACTTGATATAAGATTCCAATGCTGCCGTATTGCCGTGTTTCCTAAGGAGTAGGATGGTAGCCTACAAGCTTTAGGCCAACCCTGACCACTTAAGGCCTAATTGCTTCTTCCATCAGCTGGCGTCCGATGTCACGCGGTGACGTCATAGCCGACGCATCGCGTGCGGTTCGTCATGAGATCAGGGTGATAGTTTAATTGGTTTAATTAGTCTTCTTATTCGTTGCATTCAATTGGGATACTGTTTTTTTTTTTTGAAAGAACAAGTCTGGCGCGTTTAAAAGGCGTTTGTCGCGTTTTTTGTTTTGTTTTGTGTGGGATTCGAACTCATACCTCGGGCGTGTAAATGATACATTACGATTACTTAGCCCCTCATTTCTCCCCAGCTAATATAATCTACAGTGTTGTCCATTTTAACCTCACACCGACAGTTGCAATGAACGAATGTGGATTGGGGGGGGGGGGATTTAAAGTTTGACGACACACTAGCAATTTACAAGGTACCTTTTTTATTTAAAAAAAAATTTTGTAAAGTATAGTAAAACTTATCAATATA